CCGCGACCTGCTGGTCATGCCTCTCTTGATGCAGCCCAGGACACGGTTGGCTTTCTGGGCTGTGAGCGCACATTGTTGGCTCACGTCCAGTTTTTCATCCACCAACACCTCTAAGTCCTTTTCTGCAGGGCTTAATCTGCTCTCAAACCATTCTCTGCCCACCCTGTAGTTGTGCTTGGGATCGCCCCAACCAATGTGCAGGACCTTGTACTCGGCCTTGTTGAACTTCATGCAGTTCACATGGGCTCACCCCTTGAGCCTGTCAAGGTCCCTCTGGATGGCATCCCTTCCCTTCAGCATGTTGACTGCACCACACAGCTTGGTGTTGTCGGCAAGCTTGCTGAGGGTGGACTCAATCCCACTGTCCATGTCGCCCACAAAGATGTTAAAATACCATCTTCCCCTGGTAATTTTGTAAGTTTCAGTCTAAATTTTACAAGCAATGCACAGCATATTTTTAGAAATTTTCATCAGGCTTCTCATTTGTGAACAAGTGTTTAGATTACTATGGGCAAGTCATCATTCTTGTGAAGCTAAGAGTCATTAGATATACCTCTAAAGTAATGCTATGCTTAAAGTATAATACACACATAGCATGATGTCGTATTTCGACAAAAAAATGAATCATGATCAGAACCAGAGTATTCAGTAATGAGCAGAAAACCAAGCATATTGAATCTAAGCAAATTTTTATCAAATTAATCTCGGGAATGAACTCTGGTATCAATATATACAGTATTGCTGGAGAAGTTTCTGATAGGAGAGACAAGCAAGTTGATCCACTTAACTTTGACTGGTTAATCTGACATTAGTCCTTAATTAAACAGTTCAGTCAAAGAAGAATGCATGAACTAACGAACAGAAATATAATTGATGCCTGATTTCAGTCCTGACACTAGCTTGATAAAAGCAACCGATTAAATATACATTATGTCTGAGTTTTCTGTAACTTCTCTCACTTATCACTGCACATTCAGATTTTTAAATGCAAAATTTAAATATTAATAGGTTACAAATTTAAATGAGGTTAAAAAAAATATTCATTTTTTTTAATTTTTTTTTTTAAAGAATTTACATATGAAATCTCCCCTTAGCATCCTCTCCCATTCACAGCCAGAGACATGACACCATACTAGACACACCTCTGATCTAGAAAGCCTCAGACATCGTTACTGGAACAAGTTAATTCCCCAGATCTCTGTGCTAGTCTTAGAAGTATTCACCATTTTCATTCATGTGCCAAAATCTAAGATCTCTAGAGATAAAAAGCTAAGATGAAATGAAAACTAGAGGAAAGACTTTAATGCTGAGTAACTGGAAGACAGACAAATATAGTTTATATGACTTGATCTAAGTCAGTCCAGATCAAAATCAACATTCATCGAGGAATAAAGTGGAAAACACATATGCAAAGGCATATAGTGTCCTGAAAAGCAACAACTCTGTAAAGGATTTAGCAGTTTCATTAGAAGACCAATATCTCAGTATCAGGTTTTAAAGTCTATGAAACAATTAAGGCCATTTAGATACTTAAATGAACAAACCAGAGAAACTGGAACTAACAAACTGTTTTGAATTCTGCACAGAGTACAACAGAGTAAATACTGAAACCTCAGGGCTTGGAGCATATTTTAGAAAAGAAGTTGAAGTTGAAAAAGATACAGACATAAAATTATGCAATACCTAGAACAAATGCTTTATAATGACAGTGAAGAATTCAACTTATTTAGGTGTTGTGCTAGAACGCTATGACTTGGATCCACGCATCTCCATATGGAGAGATACAATATTTTCATACTCTTAGAATCTAAAATTTGCCTCAGTGTGCGACTTGAGCTTGCAGCACTTGCCTGTTGATGTTTTTTCACGGAACTCTTCAAGCTTCATCAGAGTTGCTGATGTCAATTGCTCTAAATGTACATCTTTTGGAGGCCTGAAGAAATCCACTAAGCTATTTATTGTCATCTATTAAAATAAAGCAAAAATAATACACGACAAATTTACTATTAAGTAAGATTTTTCAAGATATATAACTTATTCAAATATTTACTTACCGCATCATACACTATTTCCAGCGGCTGTGATTCTATTCTAAGCCTCTGATCTGCTTTCTCATCCAAAGGATTGGTCTCAAACATTATGCTTAAGAGTGAGGTACTCCTGTCCGAATAGACCGTTCGAGAAGATAGGAGACAGGGTGTACACTTTTCTCGGGACATGCCTGTAACTTCAAGTGAGGTAATTTCTGTTTCAAACCTGTAAAGAAAAGTAAATAGCACGTTCAGACATAATATCCATTTGGCTAGGGACAATTAGATGGTACGACTATAAGGAATGATCTGAAAGGAGAAAAAAAAAAAAGGAAAAAACCAACAACAACATATCTACTCTACCTCAAATATAAATAGCTTAGTCTAGGGATATAACACATATATCCATGTGTTAACTGTTTTCCATTTCATTATCTTTTGTGTCTATTAGTCACCCTTGAGTAGATAAGAAACGGGGTCCAAGTTATTCACTTCATATACTTTGCATGAGGACAGGCGTCAGGGCAGGGAAGAGACATGCAAACAGGAATTCTGTAGTATGAGCTCAGGAATTAGACGGTACAGTTCATACAGGGGAACAGAGATACAGCAGAGAGGAAAGGGTTTCAATGCAGAGAAATAAAAGCAACACCACAAGAGGAGCACAAGATTAATAGCCTCATTACTCCGAGAAAGTATTTTCTAGGTGTTGGGTTTATTTTTTTTTCCATACCCTGTCCACTTCTAACAGCTCTCTGTTGAAGATCTTTATCTCCCAACATTCAACGGGAGGTGTTTCACTGTAAAAATCTAGCATTTTCTTTCTTTTTCTCAGTATGATAGCATTATTAGGGCCATACAGATGCACAGGGGAACAAATAGAAAAGCTGCAAGATCAACAGTATCTTCATATCATACATAGATTATACTAATATACCCCAAAGTAGAGGGGACAAGGTTTAAAACAGGAAGGCCACTGTCCCCAGATTTTTAAGTCATTACATTTAAAATGAAAATAAAATATTTTATATCACTGCTTTTCATCATCTCCTGTGAGGCAACAAAACCAAGCTAAAAATGATCAGTTACAGCTTTCTTCTCCAAATCTAAAAGCTCGACTGAAAACTCCAGAACTTTTCAGTCATGTTAAATGCCTACACACAAGCAGTTACAAGATCACCTTGCCCAGATTAATTTTCAAAGAAGTAAATTTTCAAAGCAAGAAACAAGTTAATAACTGGATTGCTTGTATGTAACAAAGTTAAACTGGGGGAAAAAAAAAAAAGAAAAAAAAAGGAGAAAATCTGTGTTGGCACACAAATTTCTGAAGATGGAGAGAACTTAAATCCCGGAAAGAATATTCATTCACTTTGTTCATCAGCTGCAGGATGATTCTGCTCCCAAACTGCACAAGAAATGACAGTGAAAAATGGAAGTTAAACATCATAATAGAGCCTTAAAATCCCTTTAGCATTAGCACTGACATTTCATGAGAAGCAAAAAACCAGTCTGATAGAGAAAGTTCACCTTATTGCTTGTGCACCTGGTCGTTGGGTAAATACTGTACTCAAGCCAGTTAATGCGAATTCTACCAGCTCAGGACTTTGCTTGTTTTCTCTTATTGATATAGACATGCTTAATAACTTCACAGAGAACTTCATGGCTTCATACTAGATATGCAGGAAAAACAACAGCGGATTATAAAACATGTTAATGTACATTTCCATGTAGTTTATGAAGAGATGAAAACCACAAATACCAGTTTGATACTATTTTTCTAGTGCTATAAATAGCTTGTATCATAGCTAATGTAAAAGTCATTCCCAAATGGTTACTACAAAGAGGCAGTGTTACAGTAAGAGTAGACTATGCTTACAAACACAGGTCCTTGGCGTCCCTACACCACATTTTGAGATAAATGGCCTCTGACATAGAGCGGGAAGGCAGTCCATCGTACCATGCATGGTATCTCACATAAAGATGACTTATCAAACTATTTCTGAATGGTTCAAAAATGATGCTATTCCCCACCACAGTCCTTCAATCACCTCTTTCCTTATATGCTCACCTACTCTACCTCATGTACTATCAATCATATTTAAGACTCCAGCAAATCACTTAGTGCACTTTCTTAAAAAGTTTCTGAATACTGTAAGAGGATATATGAAGCATTTCATACCTTAAACAACAACACTCTACTTATATGATTTTATTCTAGCTTGAGTGAACACAATTTCATTCTGAACTTTTTCAGAATACCCAAAGTAAGCTCTATAACCACTCTCTTGAAACTCTAAGAATGCTCTGCCCTGCACAATGCCAGCATGCAGTAACTTAATTAGAGAGCGTCAGAACAGTATTCAAATATAGAGACAGAGCTTCAAGTAACTCAATAAGTAATTTTCTATCATCTTTAGATTTTTATCAGTAGCTAAAGCTACCAATTGTTTGGTATCATAGTCAGTTATGACTTACTGATTTTGGAAGGGTTGGATCCACAGCTGTTTCACTGTATCCAATTGCTGCATAAAGTTTAGCCTTCTCTTCACATGTCATCAGCTCTTCAAGACCTGTCACATTGCAAGAGATCAGTTGAACTCAATACAGTATCTGAAAAATGCAAATACTCTTATACTCTTTCCAGTGCTTGGTAGGTGTATAACATACAATAAATACTGTCAACATTGTCCTGAACTAGTAAAAGCAAAAACACTGAGGTTTCAAAAGCAAAGTTTTGAGTCTCCTAAAACATGCTTTAAAATGCAGTTATACTTTTATTCTAACCTACTCTATTTCCTAGCTTGCTAACAATAGAAACAGTCTTTTTTGTTTACCTTCCGTGTTTCACAACCTTTACTAGGTGCCCTGTACTTAAGTGAATCAAACTCTAATGCATTGCATGAAATAGCCAAATTATAAAAAGAATGGAAGTAAAACCGTTTACATTCCATTAACTGCTACTGTTTTCTAGCTACTGTTTTCTTTCTTCAAACCCGCATACACAGTACACTATACAGACAAATGTGAAAACTGTGGCAGAAGAAAGCACAACTGTGGAAGGAATTGTAAGATACTTCTGTAATATGCAATTAACAACTTCATCAGCAAAAAAAGGCTAAGAGAAAATGTAAACATCAATAATCCGATAGCCCAAAGTTCCATTGCTAGGGACCTACTATTCTAACAAGTAATTTTTAATACTAGAAAAAAATACCCATAAATGAACATACTTGAACCTTTTACTTCTGGTTTTTGTTCATCCTTTTTTTCACCTGACCAGCTCCATATCCAACTAAACCAGCCACCAGAATTTTCATCATCTTGTTTTACTCCTGGTCTGTAGATTTTTAATCCAGCCTTAGTTGCCTGAAATTTAAAAAAATATTCAAACAAGCAATTTTATTCATGCTTCTTTCTTCATTTCCTAAGAAAAATACAAGGCCAAGGCATGCTCTAATACATCAAAACATCATTAGACAATCACTGAAAAGGCAACATGTTATTTTTTAGTGACAGTGCATTGTCAGACCAATTCTCACTTCCATAAAATCAACTACCAATATGAACAAAAAGAGAAAGCAAAAGGTAGCTGATTTTAAGTTAATACGTATTTCTTATATAGCAGATTTTCTCCCTGGCTCTCACCACCAAAAAAAAAAAAATCCACAATATTATATAGCGCTCTACATTACAACAATGGACTTAAAAGGAATAATTAAAAATACGTATGTAAGCAACTTACATATGTAAGCCAGCACAGGTGATATTTTAAATGATCCCTATAATTTTCATTTCAAGATAGATTTCCAAAGCAATAATTTTTTTAAAAAAAATCATCACTGTTGTAGTAGAATATTTACTCTAAGGCATAAAGAAAACTATTCCTGGATCTGACACATATAGCTAGAACAGTAAGGGAGCTCTTCCTTCTCCCACATTCATTATTTCAACAACTAGGGGATGTTCTGCCTGATGCCAGTGATGATTCCAATACTGGGTCATCACAGCAGGTGCAAACCTCATCCAGACTTGACCACTGAAAGTTTGGCAAAAGGGATGGCAAATGACCTTCAGGCAATTTAAGAGACAGAGAACTTCTCAAAACTATAGTGGACCACAGAAACTAATTCTTTATCTTCATGACTAATATGATCTGAAAAGATATAAACACTTGCAGATAAGCCCTGAATTTAGAGGTGCTCCAGTGAATGTGATACCCAAAGTGAGTGAGACAGGGATCCCTTCTCAGCATTCAAAAACCCCAAGATCTCAATGCAACACAATTAGGGAAAGCAGTTGGCTATAAATCAGAACTTTTTAGGGACCTATCATATCTATCCACCTACAGGCCAATGGAAGGCAGGACTCACCACAGAAACATAAAGGCTTCTGAACTGATACTATTGATTCATCTCAAAGAGATGATGCAGAATGCGAGCTAAACAGCACAAGGCCTCAAAAAGTTTGAACAAAATCCTCCAAAGTCCTCTTTATAAAGGATACTAAGCTATCAAGCAGATGTTACAGAGCGAACGGTCCAAGGAAAGAATGGACAGAGACTCAGAAAAAAGGGCTGTTAAACCTTGAAATTAGGTTTCTAGGACACCAAGGAGTTGGTGTTGAAGGACAACTGCCATGGAGAATAAGTGATGCTTAAAACTATCATCCTCTACTTGTCTGAGGCAGCAGCTGGCACCAGAGTCCAAGGTAAGTACGGCTACAGACAGAAGGGAGGGGAACTTCATCCTTCCGCAAGGATGAAGACAACATTTGTGCAGTGTGGGAACTAAAGAAATTTCCTGAACAAATCCTGTTGAGCTTTCCTTGCTCTCCATTTACAATGGTTTAGTAATGAATACGGTCATAGTTTGTGGAAAAATTACTCATCAAGGTGAACTGTTGATGACTGTGTTTTAGTCACTGTGTTTGACTAAAAGAAAGGGAGAACCAAGAGCATCATCCTGTGTTGTGATTTAGGTGAATCTTCTATAAAGTCTTCTCTAGATTGAAAGCACAAAATTTCTCAAGCAATCTGATACAGAGACTTGATGCTTGGCTCACTAAAGCTGGTGTTTGGTATTTCGGGCACTAGTGATAAAGATTAAAAAGTGGCCTAAGGTTTGGAATATAAAGTTCTTACCACAAAGTTCCCAGAAGATCAGATGGTACTGTGTTCACAAATGTGAGTTCTGGGGAGCTTGATTTCAAGGTCTGGAGAAAAGGAAGTCCTTGAAATTCAACTCTAAGGTATGTTTTTAATGAACAAAAAGTTTAACAAACAGTAAGGTCCTTTATCTGGCTTTATTCAACCCACATCTAAGGGGTGTTCCTTTACATTCCTAGTAAACTTACGGCTGTCAGAATACCAAGCTAATAGCAGATTTGCCTCTTACAAGTCCTTTGACACCTTTTTCAGATATATGACCTGGTAACAACAAGAGAGAGAGATTCTGACAGATAGATGGAGGTAGAACAAAGTTTAGAATCGTTGTGACCTGATTTTCAATACTTGGAAATAAATTCAGAGACTTAGCTAGCAGGTCTTTCAAGATGCTTTTCTAACACTTTGCAAATGCAAGGCTTAAAGCCCAAACAAATGAAAATTCATTTGCTTGCAACCTACTTTAAGCACTACAGAAACCTGTCTTAAAACTCAGGACTGGAAGATGGTCAGGAATGTAGTATGACATAACCTTTTGCAAGTAGCATGGTCTCACTGGAGAAAAGAAGAATAAAATTAGACAGGAAATTCTTTGGGATCTCCTTCACCTTGGAAAAAACAGGAGGAAAAAGAAACTGAAAGAACTATACAGCACAAGATAAAAACATGCCAAAATTAAATGAGAATTAAAACAAAACAAACAAAGAGAAACCCTTCTTGTGAAAAGCACTCCAATTCAGCCAAACAACTGAAGGGGAGGGATATGAACGTGTCTTCTGGTTCTGTAAAACTCTGAATAATGATCATATAAGCATCCAAATGTGAATGTACATACAGACAACTAGAAGAAAAAATCACATTTATGGATTCCTGTTTAGAGTCTTGGTTTAGAAGCACCGTATTTATCACCGCAGCAACTGAGTTCAGACCATACTTAATATACTCCACCAAAAAAAATTAAAATAAAATTTCTCTCAAGCACTGCCATAAGAAATGATTGACGTTCATGAAGTTTAATTATCAATACATTATTTCAGATTCTAAACTTCATATTCTGCTTTTTTTTAGTCACATTCATTATTAATGGAGAAAGACCCCTTCACAGATTTCAGAAAACCTATAGATTTCACTTCAGTCTCCTGGAATGATGCTCAGACACTACATTAAAACTAAGCAGTACATCAACCTAGGAAAAACAAGGCTAACAAATTAAGTGTAAATATTCAAGTCACATTATCTTAATGACTTAAGTCTTGTGAAAATTATCTACTTAAAGGTATTCTGCATTTACTGTGTTCCGAATAACTTTTGCCAACAGTAACAAAAGGTCAATATACTATACATACAGGTGTTCCTACATAATAGGGTATCAGGAAAGAAAGGAATAAACTAATAGGCTAGGCTGTTGGGGGGAGGAAAAAAAAAAACCCACACAGAAGATTTGGGTATAATCGCTTCCAACTTGACTTATCCTACTATCCTTTGACCATATTTTCCACAGTGCATCTTCCTTACCAAAAGTGGAAAGAAATTTATCCCAGATCAAATATTTTGAAGAAGCAGTACATGGAGCTATTTAATTTTTGCTTAATTACAAGCTGAAAGTAACTATGCCTTATTATAACAAACAAAGTAGAAAGACTATATGACGCACAATTCAGTCACCAGAACTAAAATGCATCTCCTAAAATCTCCACAACCTCATCTTGCAGTTATTCTTAGACTCATTTAAATGATGAAATTTTACCTCAACTTCCGCTTGTTGCCTTGCTAGAGTGATGTTAAAAATATCCAAGGCCTTTTCGAATTCCTAGAAAGGAGGTGAGAATTATTTTTGGACAATTTCAATTGCTTAGATTTCATGGCTCGGTTTTATAGGAAATGACAGCAAGCACCTATTTCAGTGCAACCCAAGTTTATCTGCTCAAGCTGAAAGCTTAAAATAAACCCGGAAAAGAAAAGCACATCAGTTTAAGTTTTCCTTCACTGCAGTTACTAATTTAAAAAAATTGTCTAATATATTTGTTAATACTACTCACAGAGAAAGGTACTGATGAAGTCGCAAGTCTGGCCACTGAAAATTTTATTTTAACTTACTACTGACTTAGGAACATGTAAAGATTTAAGTTTAAGAAAATAGCAAGATAAACAATATTTAAGCCTTTAATGGAAAATGGCTAACCTCCAACAATTTTAAGATTTCTTCATTAGGTTTTTTTGATGTTATCTTTGTTTTATACATCTCTTTATAGCTCTTCACTTGTTTCCTATGGTACCGAATATGTTCCCATGACCACATTTGGAGCTTAGGTTGAACATTTACTTCAAGGATGCCATAAATAACATATTTCCACCTAAAAAAGACAAATTAAGTATAGCTTACATTTCTTTCGGTATATTGAAGAGACACCTAGAGCGATGCAGACTCCCGCTAAATACAACTTCAAGTTGTGAAAAAGTGAAATCCCTTGTCTAATATCACATTTCTGATCAGTAGAGAAACCTAAGAATTTTTTTTTCCACACAAAGTTGACAGGTGGTTATTTCCTAAAATTAAAAAGTAATCTTGTACAAAAAGTGCTCGCAAATATATATGTGTGTCTGTGTGAATAATCAAAACATTTGTAAGGAATCTTCTGAAAAAAAATCAAATCTCTGCCATTTGTGCTGAAAAGGTTTGCCTCTTTTTAGGTAATAGCTGTGTTCATGTAAAAGTACCTAACACATAATGGGGTCTCCTTCATTAAAGCAGAGTTAGGATATTAAAATACTATCAGACTTAAGTTTCTGATAACGGTCTTTAAGAAAGCAAATGCAGGCTTTCAAATACTGTTTTCTCACATTTGGTTTGAGGTCCACACCAATGTTTTTTTACTACTAGCTTAAGAAAAAACAAAAACAGACTGTTTCAGAAGGAAATGACTTCTAACCTCCTTACATAAGAAACAATCCCTTGGTAATTATTTCAAATGAATAACCAACAAATTATTTTCAAAGTCTGAGGTTGCCTACCATGTCTTGGCATTGTTGTGCAATGGAACATCAGGTCTGTACTTCCTGTATGGCAGATTTCGAGTCATCATATCAATAGATTCAAGAAGCTCCATAACACTGAAGTACTAAAAAAAAAAAAAAAAAATCAAACTGAATATTATCATCTGAGAACAACGTGAATCAAGCTTCCCTTTAAAAAGAATATAATTTACAAAAAAACAAAACAAGACTAACTAGTCAATTGATTCTGTATGTTTATTATAAAATTTCAGCCTGCTTTTCTCATTATTCTTGCAAACTAACTTCTTTACCACATTACATATAACTTCAGAAAAAGACTTCATACCTGTGGCTTATTGAATTCAACAGTTATATCCTGTAAATCTACACCTAAATCCATTTTCGGTGATGAAAAGTCAACATCAGAGCGAGGATTCATAAGCAGTTTGGCTCTAGCTGAAATTGGACGGAATACTAAAAAACAGAAGTTGATACAAAAAGTTGATATAACTTCAATTATTTAAGTCTGCCATAAATGATACATAACGCTTATCAGCTCAAGTTACACCAGATTATTCAACTAAAAATTCTAAACTTCAAAACATGAAGACTTCATCAACACAGCTTAAAATATAACACAATCTATACTGAATTTCCAGTTTCATTCTGGCAACATTTGTGGAATAAGTATTTGTGGAACATTTTTACAAAACTTCCTGTATGCAGTATTACATGGCAGATGTTTCAATTAATAGTTTATATTGGCAACAATCTAATTTTTTTTGCTATAAACTATTTATAGCACAAGACAGTTTCAAACATAGCACTTTGTACAGGAACTCTTATTCCATAAGGATTTTTTTTATGTATGTTACTGATGTTTTACACTGTTTGATAAATTATACTGACATCAGTGGATAAAACCAAATGCTCCACATTTCTAAATCCAAGCCCAAGCAAGCATGGAAAAAATCAATACGGATCCTACATAAAGCGAAGCATATGACATGAAAAATAGAGCAGAATTTCTTTATCTGTTCCACAATTTGGCAATGTCAGGCATTCAATATAGCCTTCAGAAGCCATGTTGAGTTCAATTTTTCCATCTGTTTCATCAACTGATCCAACAATCAGAATTTGTACATTACTGAAATTTGTATAAATTGTATTTTTATCAAATAAAATACCTTTGATTTCAACAGAAATACTGATAGACCATCCCCATACCAAATATTCTAAATTCACTGAATGGTTCATACAAGTGGAAACAGACATTTTTGCAAGAAGAAACCATGTTTACAGCAATTTACACTTGTTTCATTTTAAGCTCTGTATTTCTTGTGAAGTTTATTTTACTTTTATCTACACATTTTCTGTGATAGCATTTCTATTAATTCCCCCCCCCCATTTAGCTTCCTAAATATCATTTTTCATCCTTCCTGTAAGCATTATGTTTGCATTTAGACCAAATGACAGAAGCAGACTTTGTGCTTACTACCCTTCTATTTGTCTCAATCTAAACAGTTGCTCTAAAAGAGCCAGAATGTTCATTTATCATGGAATATCAGTATGATTTAATTCTTTAAATATCTGCATCTCTGATGGCACTACTAAATTTTAAGAGTGTAAATCCTCAATCCTGCAATTTTGCATACAACTATTTTGAACTTCTAGCTAAAGACTTAGACAACTGATGATGTTTAAACTTACTTTCTTGTAAAAAGAGGTAAAGCTAGCAACTGAAAAAGATAATTAATCAGAAGAAATTACTAAATAGTTCTCTGGCCGTCAAATAGAGAGACACAAAAGGCTTCCTCTTTCAGGTAAAGGCAGCAAGAAAACCCCATAAAACTTAACAGTGCCCTTTTTAATCCTGGCTATAGTGAACTGAGAACTTGCTTGCTAGAGAACAAGCCACTTCTAAGGCCATTCTGCCTTGTAAACTGTTACTAAACAATCACACAGATGCACATGAGAAATAAAACCCATGTATTTTCCATACAATGAAAAGTAAACAATCACCCTGCTTGAGTGGAGTCAATGTGACTTTTGGACTTACAGCAAGCAAGAATCAAAGCTATATAACTTGCAACTTGGCAAGACTCAAAAAAAAAAAAAAGTTGACGTTTCAGAGTTGTGTGATTACTATTTCCACCTCTAATGAAAAAAAGATACACTTCATATAAGACAGGTAAACTCAAAAACATTATCTATAACTGAAACCAATCTGATTCACAAAACTTACATGATACACATATTATTGCTAAACTTCTTAAAATGAGGAATTCTTAATGGATGCAAACAAAGAGGATTTTTTATGACATTCCACTAGAATGAATCATGACTCAAGACTCCTATTTTAATTAAAGCCTTTTAAGGCTACAGATATGGTACAGTATTCACTGTCAGGGAGACAGTTATTCCTACAAAAGAACTAAACTGCACTCTTACTAAGACTGTTGAATAACAGACAAAGTAGCAACCTCTGAGAGGCATTAAAAATTAGAAGTATACATGCATATTAAATACAAATAAAATACCACTCACCAAAATCATAACCTTCTGGAATCACATTGTGGCTGGCAACTCCCTGTTTTAAGTTAACCTACATATACAATGGAGTTAAAAATAAGCTGCATTTTTATTTCATTGTAAGGTTTTTAAATATAAAATGTTAGCATTTTAATACAGGTTTCAGACAATCCCTCTGATACACATTAAAATTCAAAATATTCTACGTTTATACAGAAAAAGACTTCTAGTTTTAGCTAATAAAATCACTGACGACCACATATTGTGTATAATTTTGTAACTGACAAAGGACTTTTTTTTGTTTTAACTTCTGCAGATGGGTCTTGTACTTCCATCACATAAAAACCTTAATATTTACTATTTTTCCTAAAAAAGTTCTTAGCAACAAGACAGTTCTCCAGGACACTGACACAAATGGAAGCAGAACTGAATGTGAAACATGGTCTATGCTTCACAGTCTAGAATACTAGACACATTATCTCATCCTTTACTTACCAACGATTCATCACAACCACCATGGTAGAACATCTCCGATTTCACATTCCAGTAAGCAAAAAGGTTATCCAGTCGTACAAGCTGAAAGTACAACAGAACATATGTATTAATACTTACAAATTTTAGGTTAGTAATTTGGATTTCACAAAGTCCGAATGAATAAAAATATTCAGATTGTTCCTTGCAGACTACACATCATTTTATTTTAGACCCTATACAGTTACATGTTTTCTTGATCTCACTTTCTGTGGAAGGAACACTAATTCAGCTTTATTAACAATTCTTTCTTTAGCATACAGTTTATACTGTACTGTACCTTGTAGAATAACTTGGCAGTTTCATCATGTAAACATGGATTCCAATTCTTATCTGAGGTCTGAAATGAGAATTAAAGTTATTCTGATGTCTATAACACACCAAAATTTTATCATCACTGAAACAAACCAGGAAAAAAAAGAGAGGGACATCACCATAATTAAACCCCACTGAAAATAACAGGATGCCATATTCTGATTTAAGATTATTAAGCCATTATTTTAAGTGGAAACTTCATAACGCTACTCCCCCCCCAAAAAAATACACACATGTATATGCAGTGACTGGTAGTCTGCACACAAGAACCAAGATTATTTAAAATTCTATTTCCAATATTTCAAACTGTTTTCCTTTACACGAACATTATTTTTAGGAAGGCTCTTTGGAAAGAGATAAACATGGGACTAGAATTCTTTTACAATTCTGGAAATAGCATTTTAGTCTGAGCCCAAGAGAAACACTACATGTTATTATACTTTTTCAATGCTAATATGCATTTCAAGAGTGAAATAGTAAGAATACGAAAGCTTTTGGCCATTACACAAAACTTTTCAGAGGAAGGGGCTGTCAAAAACCTTTCAATAAGACAACTATTTCATTCAAGAAAGTAACTTTTACTTACTTTTTTTAATGCTTATCAGTTACACAGAAAAAGGTACTGAATCAGAGCATCTCAGCAGAATCAGCATACTGCTGCTACTAGGTAGTCTTGCAGAAAAAAATTATACAGTCTATGATCACTACTATCAGCACTTTAAAGTGGAGCTTGCAGATCAAAGAACTGAGCTCCAGTTTGAAACAAGATGCTATCCTCTTTTTTTTTCCTTTTTGTTCCCCTTCCTAATCTCAAGTATTCCTTTCTCGGGGTTCATGGCAGTTTCAGTAAAATATTCACAGATTCTGAATAGCCCAAATCCAGCAAAGTCTGGTACGTGGCAACCACAAAGTGCAGCAGGCAGAAGAATAAGAATTTCCTCCCAAAGGTCTGTTGTAATGCTAGCACTTTATTTTTAATGGCACCCCTGCCACAATATTTATGCTGGATTTGATAAACCAAGTAGTTACCATTGTGCATTATTCATGATAATAGGAATACTTTCATTAGACAGTATATTACCAGACAGCACAATAATACACAAAACATAAAACTTAACCTTTCAGTCTACATCAACATGCTTTTTTAGATGAAAAATAAAATTACCTGTAAACTTAGATTCTGAAGTGAAATCCCAAATGACAAGGGGTTATTCCGATTTGTGATCTAATAGAGCAAGGGGGAAAATACGAAAAAAGGATTATCTTATGCTCTAAATTTAGATTTCGAAGTAAACAGCCAAAAATAAAAAAAAAAAAAAGACAGATGTAGCAAAGATCTGACAAGTTAATGCTTTGGTACAAATTTTTTATTAGCTTTCATTTTTAACTATTCTTTTTTTTAAGACTATGAAATTTCCAAAACTTCACTAGGATTCTCTCAACATGGAAAGCAGCTAGGAGAAAACAAATCAGACAGGTTCCTAATTTCATGTTACAGTACACAACCCCTTATGCTGAGATATGCAAAAGTACTTACATCATCTTCATAGCGAATATGGATGTTGGAAATTTTCACCTGAAGATTTTTGATGACCTGAGTGACTAGTTTTTCAACAAAAGTGTCTTGTTTCTCTTCTTTTACTTTATCTAAGTTAAGGGAAAATAATTTAATATTTTGTTTGCAGTAAAGTATTTTAAAACTACACTAGAGAACACAACATAATAAAGTTTGTATGACAAATATTTCAATTTTCTATTACATTGTACTCCAATTGTATAAAAACATATCCTTTCAGTATAGTCTATAACATTTATATCCTCACACTATACAGTTTCAGCTTTATTTCTTGCTGCATGAAGAATCAGGTTGTTCAAAAGTATGACTTGTACCCTCTGATACTCAAGGTGGCCAATACGTATTCCTTGAAAGTATCAAAAGTTGAATTTAAGATGATAAGACTTAGCATGTATTAAAGAATAAATTACACAGAACCATTAAAAAGGCATAACCATAAAAATTCTTTGCTACTGGAAACAAAAGTTAAATTGATTCTTATGAAAGAAAATGTCAGGCAACATATGACACAAGCACACGATACTTCAAAATCCTTACTCATATGAGATCATGTCAATGCTTGAACCTTTTTATTTTCAGGATGCCTGTTCTGCAATATTGATGGCAGCTACACCTAAAGATCTGTAACTAACAGGGTTTTAAGTATCAAGAGGAAAACAGGACTCTAAAACACTTTAAGTGACAAATCCAGCATCTTTCTAGATTAAAGAAAGGAAAATCGTCACTTTCATTAGCTTTTCCCACTCTCACCTTGGTCAGCTATTTTCTGTTTTGCTTCCTCTATCCTTTGCAATTCCCTTTGTCTTGCTTCCAAGAGCTGCCTGGCTTCTTTTTCAGCATCATATTTTATGCCTAAATGCACAATGTAAAAAAGGTATGATACAAAAAACCTTACATGTTTTTGGAAGATGCTGTTTCAAAAGCAGTAATTTTCACATTTTGTTAACAATTACATAACAACAAAAGTTAGGTGACTAAATGGAAACTCCTGAAAGACACTCCATTCCCATTACCTAATTGTATTTGCTAGGAGCATCTACTAGCTCATGAAAGCTCATGAAAACAATATCAACCCATTCCAGATACTTCTGAAATTCCATCAATCTAAATTCACTTTTTTTATCTACATTAACTTACTGGCTGTGGGCACAATAAGCAAATAAACTCCATCAAGAACCGCCTCAACAGGTTGAGTATAAAGGTTTTGCCATGGAATCTGTAGGTTAAGTTGGCCTACAAACACAAAAGGAAAAGGTTAAATAGTTGACTGGGGGAAAAAATATTAGAAAGATAACTGACATTAACCACAAAATCCCTGAACAATTATTATATTGGACAGAAAAAACAGTGTTTCTGACAGACACGTCCTTTGGGTTGTTTTACATAGCACACAAATGAACATGAAGCAAGTTTTTCCATGAGCAGAACTATTAAGTCTACAGGTCCTCTCCTTACTCGCTTGAATTATATTCCACAGCAACCTCTCCCTCCTTGCAAATCCTGTCCAGCACCCTCAAAAACAGAAAAAGCATGGGCAGCTCATATGTGATCAATCAGCTAAATACTCATCAAATTAGAATGTTTTAAATATATTTTTCCTTTCTTTTTCTGTGGAAGAGAGTCTTAAAGAAGTGTGTATGTTTTGTGAACATGGGGACCCTGAGGTTACAACATCTCTCATTCTTCATCCAAGTGCCAGTTTTAATAATGAAACCAGTCACAGGAAAATATATACCTCCAGGGTAGATTTAAGGGAAACATGGCTTTAACCTTAGTTTGCTTTAAGAAACCACTAACTTTTAATAATCAACTTGCAATGAGAAAACTTTTCATACTAGCAAAAACAGGGAAGGAGGATAGAAGGGGAAGTGGAAGGCAAAATCAGTTGTAGAGTCTTGCTAAAACAAGGGATGAGATCCAGTCCTGCTCGGTCACTCATCTTCCCTGTGGTGTGTTCTTTTCTCATTAATATTGAGGTGATTACACAAGACTCCAGTATATTTCAGCTTTAACATCTCAGCTCAAGAAAAGGTGCTTCTTCAGAAGAGACAAGCTTCAGAGTGTACAAAGCAAATTTCAGAGTGCAAAGCATACAAATCAAGGAAACTAGGCAAATTACTTGCTTAGGATGCCTAGAGCCACTTGCGAGGAAAAACAGTATGTTTAGTAACTCCTGCCTGGGGGTATGATAAAATGTAACTTACCAATATGTCCTGCTTTAACTTTAAATGGCACATCCAGCTGACTCTGAAATAAAGTGGTTTAGAACATTTAAGCTTATTTCAGCAATTTGTTAAATGTTCCCATACAGGAAAAAAAAGATGATGATAACCTTAATAAATTTACCTTTCAACCACTGAACAAGCAAGCGCTTGGTTATTGATTTAAGCTGTTAAACCATGCTAGGCTAAATACACTCCCAAGAGCATGTTTCTAGCTTCATGACATACAGAAAGAAAAAAAAAAAAAAAAAAAAAAAAGTCTTTCAGTATTGCTTTTGACCTAAACACATTCTTTTAGCAATTGCCAAGAGTTTTGTTTGTTGGGGTTTTTCTTTTTTAAAAAAGGCTACTTGGAGCCAGCACACATCTTCACTTTTAAATCTAATCTCAAGTTAATTGCACAATCCACACTAGAACATAGAAAACAAACAAGTAAGATTTCACTTAAAAGACAGTGTATCCTAAAATAAGAACTGAAAAAAACATGTACAACCCAAAGCATTGTTCAAGAATCATTTTTTGCAACAGTTTTATTTTTATTTTTGCTAACTTACCAGTGCATTTTCTTTTATTTCAAGATTCTTCAGTGCTACGGCTCCTAAAAGCAAAGGAGCCAGTGAGTAAAACTACAATAACCAGAGTAATAGTGGTGCATGCTAAACATCCCAAAGTGAGTCAGTGGTCCCTGACCTGTAGTTCTTCAACTCTTTGCTGTAGAAGGTATCCACAACCTACACCTCAAATATCCATGAAAGAACACACTGTTCATTCATGCCACAAAATAATATCTGAGATCTTCTCATGGAGCTTGCACATCCATGGAAAAGAACTTAAGATTCCTCAAAGTTTCTGGAAATTACTGTCACATTTTTTAAGGACCATTTTGAAATTAAAAGTTTCCTTCTTTTTCCTCAACCATCTGCTTCCTATGCTTATGGAAATCTAGCAACATTAAATCTAGAGAGAAATTTTAGCCCTCAAATGATCTTACATTTGCAAGTTGTATTTATAGACTTATAAAAGCTTATAGGAAGCACTTCAGTAAATCTAATTTTTAAATGTCTTAAGACAACAATAAATTCAGTACCCTGTAAACACAGAGAATTTGATTTGCAAGATCTGTTTTTACAACATATTTGACATCAGACACTTGCTATAAAGGAACAATGGAAGGGTCCAGGAAACTCAAAACTTAAAAACATGCATATAGTCTGAAGCAATGTCTTCTGCAAATTCTACAAGAAGGATGGAACACTTGCAATGGTTACCTTCGAATTAGTTGTACAGTGTTAACACATGCACATGGAACAGACACCTGATACAGCTGAGCAGGGACATAAATGAGATTCAGGAAACCAGAAGCAAATTACAGGCCTGGAAAGGAATACAACTTGAGATTGCAGATGAAGATTTGCTTGACCGAATAATGCTTTCCTTTTGGGGACAAAATGCTAGAAAAGGCCAAACATATAGGGAGACAGGAGCTCCAACTGTAAGAAATATTCTTGCAGTTATATAATGCTGATGGAATTAGACTACTGTTCAACGTACCACCAATTTCAGGAAACTGGACCCTAATCTCAAAAATGCATTCATTAGAACAGTTGGCTCAAGTTGTTGAACTGCTGTGGAAGAGCTGATCAGGTAAACTAATCCATCGGTCTTGTAGCACCATAGAATGGTTTGGGTTGGAAGGGACCTCAAAGATCATCTAGTTCCAACCCCCCTGCCATGAGCAGGGACACCCTCCACTAGACCAGATTGCCCAAAGCCCCATCCTGAATGCTTCCAGGGAGGGGGCTGCCACAGCTTCTCTGGGCAACCTGTGCCAGTATCTCACCACCCTCACAGTGAAGAATTTCGTCCCAATATCTAATCTAAATCGACCCTCCTTCAGCTTAAACCCATTACCCCTTGTCCTGTCACTACACTCCCTGATAAACAGTCCCTCACCATCTTTCCTGTAGGTCCCTTCAGGTACTGGAAGGCTGCAGTAAGGTGTCCCCGGAGCCTTCTCTTCTCCAGGCTGAACAATCCCAACTCTCCCAGCCTGTCCTCATAGGAGAGGTGCTCCAGCCCTCTGATCAGATTCATGTCTGTCTTGTACTGGGGACCCCAGAACTGGACACAGGACTCACAAAACACTATCAAGTTTTTAATTATTTCATTTACTGTTTGTAATAAGCTATTATCACTTTCCAGTAGAATTGTAAACATCTGTCATGTGCCACCATCAGCCTCTCCAGAGAAATACTACATGCAGAATGATGTTTTTGAGAGCTGGTGATTCTGCTTTTAAGCCTTAAAATACACACATATTGAGAGGCACATTGGAAAAAGAAAAAAAAAAAAAGAGGAAAAAAAATCAAAGAAAGCATTCCCAGAAGTAGTCTCTAACTAGTCTTGTAACTTTAAGTAGTCTATATAGTTTTTGTAGGCAATAATAATATGACAATTTTTATATACCATTGGGTTCAATACTACTCTAAATTTATTCCCTGATAAAGCTGACCCTGCACAGACCATTTTAACTCTCATTAGACAGAGTTTTATTACATGAGAGACACACTAAAAAAGTATTTGCTTCTTCAAGAAGTCATCGCTAATTGTAATTGTATTCATGGCAAGTAATTCTCACGGTATACAGAGCAAAGTTTCAGGTTTGTAAGCAAGTTACCATGGATGACATGCAATTCTTGCATGTCAGTTGAGCCATAATACAAATGTTCACAGGCAAACTCTAAGACTCTGTGACACATGAAGCAGTTTAACTGCGTTTAGTGTCTTTCACTTTCACTGTCAGCTAAGTAAACATTACTTCTCATTTATCAAGGGTTTGGCACATGCCACATTTCAGCTGTGGCACAGTAACTTAAGCTGCAACGATTTGGCAGCCCTAATGCTTCTAAAAACAAGGTATTGCAAAGTGAGCAAGGATTATCATCTCAAGCATTTACAAACAGTATTTTGTGATGGAGAACTATAGCTCATTTTACCTGAGCACATCATAATGGCAGAGAATAAACATGGTATCAATACTGTTTCAAACAAGAAGGCTTTGACAATTCTACATCAAATGTTGAGATTGGGAAGTGAGATAAATAATTCTTCACCATTTTTCCTACACTTATGATTTTACAATCAATAAGTTTAAAGCTTTCAGTTAAAATCATTAGAAGAGAGAGAAATTACTAAAACTTCTATTATCTCAATTTTAGTATAAAATTAGTGAAAGACATTCACTAAAATACCACCCTTTACTCACAAAAACCTTGACTGAGGGTCTGACCACCGTGAATGGACTATCAAAGCACACAAAAGGCTACTACTGAAGCACTATGTTTTGCATATTTATGCAACCCTTCTTTCTCCTACACTTGAGAGGGAGTGCAAGAAAGAGGTTGACTAAACATCCCTGCAAGTAAACAGGAACTATTTCCAGCATTACCACACCTCAGCTGGCAACCAATTCTCACACTCACGATTTAAAATGCAATAACTGGCCAATGTCAGTATTCTCTTTCATTGCCAAAATTTAGTCTCTGTCACACTTGGCTATTTCACTTGCAATGAAACATAGCTCCAGGTGCAACTGCATTGAATCCTGACTGTTCTGCTAGGGGTACCAAAAAAAAGAAAAAAAAAAACCACAGAAACAGAAGCAGGAAAATCAGGGAACAAAGGCCTGTTACAGGACATAATGCTCACTGATTTTTACTGTCTTGGAACACTGCCAAGGGATTTTACTTGCAAGAATTTCAAAACACATCAAGATTTGGTTGTTTAGTTTTGTTGGGGTTTTGGGGTTGTTGGGTTTTGTTTTGTTCCCTTTTGGGAGCAATTGGATGTTTCTTTGTTTTGAGGACAGAAATGCATCCAGACAAAACCGCATTTAATGGGTTAAAAATTGCCCAACTAAGCAACCTTGAAAACAGTATATACAAGTGGTTGAAGTTGTATAAATACCTAGGGTTAAACATGCAGGCTAACAGCCAAAACAATAATAAAAGCCAGAACATTTATAAATACCTATAGCACAGTCTAGGATTTATTTAGGCTATATTATAAAGCAAACCCTTAGCTTTATTCATCTCTGGACATTGTAAATAATTCAACAAAATCAAACATTTGTCAAAATTCTGGAATAAATAGGTTTAGAGTTTTAATTTTGGATAATCAAAATAACTTCATTAATTTGAGCGCACGAACCAACACCCACTACCAAGGACTTAGCTCACAAAAAAGAGATCTAGAAAATAAGATAATAGTTGGTAAACCATTTCACCAAGGAGGCCTAACTGAAATTTTGCTATACATGTCAACAGAAGCTAAAGAGGGGGAAGAAAATCAGTCCACATAAAAATTCTGCAGATTTAAACTATGTATTAATCACGTCTTCTGTCTTGTAAATAAGAAGGGGGGTGGGAGGGGAACAGGGAAGGCAGATGAAAGAAAGAGAGGTGAAAGACAACAGGCATCAGAAAATGAAAACACCTCAGCTAGTATTATTCCTGCTCACATATTTTAACAGAATTTCTGCTTTTTAGCAACGGCATTATCAGCTTGTTGTGAACCCCTTTGATCACTTTATACAAACTGCTGCCTTTGCCAGTCATTTCCCACCTGTGTTTGTGCTGTTAATTATTCCTGTTTATGCATACTTTCTGGAGACAAGCTCTAAGTCTCTGAGCATCAGAGCATCTGCCAAATACCTCCTCCCTCTATTGACATCTGTTGTAAAATAGGTCACTAAAGGCAGCAGAAACTACTAGATATCCTTAATTCCTCAGTCAATTCAAGTTACTAATATGTAAGGGATGGGATTGCACCTGCTATACCTTTGTACCTGCTATACCTTGACAAGGAAAGGTATGTAAAATAAGTAGTCTTTTATTAGAATAATAGCTGTAGCCAGAAAAAAGTAGGTAAAAAGTGCTTGTGTGCTCACAAACCTGTGTCAATTCCCTGCCTATATCATCCTACTAATGTAGCTGCACCAATAAGAGACATCGGCTATTCAAATAACAAGTTAAGTAATATATGCTTGTGACATTATCTAATAAGTAGGCGTGCCAAGTCAACAGAGAGTTAAGTATTTTAAAGTGTTGTTCTGAGGGTCTAATCAAGACACTGAAAAGTTATTTAGATCCAGCCAAAAGAAAACAGTGGCAACACGGACCTTGGTGAAACAACTGTTTGGTCTCTCATAGTGTGTGGAAATCTCAGCCACCTTTCACTTCTCAAAGATCAACATCTCACATTGCTTCAGTCATTTCTTCTGGTATTGCAGTATAACTTTATTAGGTCTAGACCATTCCAAAAAAATCTAACTTATCTCAATACTTATCTAACCTGGTTTTCTAAGCCAAATACTTACGCATTTGTTAAACACAGCTCATTGAAACTATCTTTTTAAGTGAAGACCAAAACAAGAAGTTTAAAACATTGTTCTTCCCAGCATCATCCATCCATAACTTTCCCTGATGGCTGCCTAACACATTGTTTTGGGTTTCTGTGGCAAGATTTTGGTAGCAGGGGGGGCTACAGGGGTGGCTTCTGTGAGAAGCTGCTAGAAGCTTCCCCCATGTCTGACACACC